AGAGAGAGAGAGAGAGAGAGAGAGAGAGAGAGAGAGAGAGAGAGAGAGAGAGAGAGAGAGAGAGGTGATGTTGGAGTGTCTGAACAGTTTGCACTTCTTGATTGTGTGCTGCAGGGATAAACAATCATGTCTGTCGAGCGAATCAAGTGATGGAGGACGACTGCTCTTCATCGTTCCTTGCCCGGCAGTTGTCGTTGGTTGGACGGTGGCGATCCCGATCGTTGGTTAGAGGAAGATGGGGTCGTTAATTGGATGATGATGATGGAATTGTTTTTGATTGGTTGGCGATGGGATAACCACCTATCACACATTCTCCCCTTCTCTAGCGAGAAGCAAGGGTATCAGACGAGAGAATCTTGCCACTCCACTTGCGCGGGAGTACATTCTTGCTTGTCTTTCCCGCTATCTCGCTCGTCTTCTCGCCAATTTTGTGCTAAACTCGACTCTCTATTATTCCCCTCTTCCAAGTCCTTTGTTTTTATTTCTATTTTTGACTTTTCGCCCCCTTCTTCCAAATCCTATTTTGCTAACTGGCGGGAATAACACTAGCGTTTTGCGGTAAAAGGCCGGGGAGTGGATAGGAAGCGGGATGAGGTTGGCAGCAGCTGTGGATGGACTGGACGGAGCCCTGGGGTCGGGATGGACATTAGGTTCGGCTTCAGACCTGGATCAGGCTCGGTAGTAGGGTTGGATTGAGGTCTGAAGGAGCGCGAGGTTGTTTGGCAGCGAAAGTGGCGGAGTTGCGCGGGCGGCCTGGACCGTATTGCGGAGGTTTGGACCAGATTTGGACCAGGGTCGGCAGACCCGCGCTGCGCGGGCGGGTAGGACCAGATTCGGGAGCAGCAGTCTTGGATCAGGCTCGGGAATAGGGCGTGATAGGGTTCTGAGGGAGAGTGATTGGGCTTGAGGTCGGGAAGGAGAGATTTGGACCAGGTTCAGACACGGCCGAGGAAACCAGCCTCGCAGGCGGAGCGTGAGGTTGGCAGCAACGCGGTTGGACTTCGGGTCGACCGGAGGGTTTTACCAGGTTCGGAAGCTCGAGAACGAGGTTTGGACCAGCTTCGGAAGCTCGAAGAGGTTGGACCAGGGTTGGAAGCTCGAGGAGGTTTGGAACAGGTTCGAGAGCTCGACGAAGTTGGACCAGGGTTGCAAGCTCGAGGAGGGGGCGGTGTGGAACAGGTTCGGAAGCTCGAAGAGGTTTGGACCAGGGTCGGAAGCTCGAGAACGAGGCTTGCACCAGGTTCGGAAGCTAGAGGAGGTTGGACCAGGAGGTTGGAGCCTCGATAAGGAGGTTTGGAACAAGTTCGAGCTCGAGGAGAAGATTGGACAGGCTCGAGAAGGAGGTTTGGAACAGGTTCCGAAGGTCGAGGAGAGGGGGTTTAGAACAGGTTCGGAAGCTAGAGGAGGTTTCGACCGGATTCGCAAGGTCGTGGAACGAGACGAGGTTTGGACCACAGGTTCGGTAGCGGCGGAGGACCAGCCTTGCAAGCGCTTAGTCGACTGTGGACCAGACCCAGCCCTCGGAGGCATGGCCGGAGAGCCTGGGTGCCAGACGCGGGGTGGGTTGGATCGCCGCATTGGTTCAGGGTATCAGAATCCGACTGATGGGACGCACGCTGGTGTAAATTTTGGGGGCGGGAAGGTTTGGACGGCTGGCCGTATCTACGACAGCACTTGGCGGGATGGGGAACAGCTTCTTCGCTGAAACATGATTCGGTTCGGAAACAGGTTTTTGGTAAATAGGCCGCCTGATCAAATGCGCGCTGGTCGAAACTGGCGGGCAAGGTTGTTTTGAGGGTTGGCCGTGCCCAGGGCATTCGGGATCAGGAACAGGTTCGGTGAACAGGAGAGGGGACTTGAATTCGAAACAGGCTCTCGGTAAACGGACTGACCAGACGGAGGCTGGTTTTGAGTTATGGCCAAGTCAGATCGGGGAGTCGGGATGGTTTAATGTTGGTTAATTGCGGACTGGTTTGATGATGTACGCATATTGTAGCCGGGTTTAAAGTTCGAACCAAACCAGTCTGTAGTCCAATTCATGGAATTGGTCGATCAGAAGCAGACTGGTTGTAAAAAAAAAAAAGGGGGGGAGGAGAGGGGAGGGGGGGGAGCCCGGATGTCTGAGGGTGGATGGTTGTAGCTCTAGGAGTGGCGTTTGATTCGGAAACAGGGGGGCGGGATTACCTGCAGGGAGGGTAGGGTTACAGGTATCCCGACGAGGGTGGGGGATGGGGGGACTGCACGAGGACGGAGAGGAGCCGGATTCTTTTGAAGGAGGTCGGGATCAGTAGCAGAAGAGGTGGGGGGGTTGCATTCACGAGGGTGCGCTGTGGGTCGGGGCTCGTTGAGCGAGGAATCGGAATCGGGATCGGGATGATAAGCTCTCTTGCGATGTCGGATTGGATGAGATAGACGTCAGAGGCTGTAGTACTCCGTTTTGGTGTGATGCCGGTTGTAGCACTCGGCCACGGCTGGCACACGTAAGGACCTGGACTATCTTGACAAATAGTCCATTTCAGCACGTTATTCTGGTAAAGCAATCTAGAGAGAGAGAGAGAGAGAGAGAGAGAGAGAGAGAGAGAGAGAGAGAGAGAGAGCACTTATGCTGCCTTGGGTACTGTTTATTATGTGTGCTGACACGGGGCTCTTCAGTATTTGCGGGAGAAAGACGGACAGCGTGACAATCCGAAGTGAGGCCTGATTTTGACGAAGGGCGGATGTGCATGATGGTGTAATCTTGCGGTCGAGAGAATACCTCGTTATCGATTTAGTCCGTTTATCCCTTCGTTCATGCGTTTATCCATTTATCAGTTTGTTTCTCGAAGATCGAGCTGTCCACTCAGCCAAGGTCATACGGCTGCGGCACGTCGTCAGGGACTCAAGTGGGTGCATTGTGAGCGACGGGGAGAGGGAGAAGGAGAAACGAGAAGAGAGCGGGGCGCAGACAGCACACACACACAGCCAGCGAGCGAGCGAGCGAGCGAGCGAGAGAGAGAGAGAGAGAGAGAGAGAGAGAGAGAGAGAGAGAGAGAGAGCAGAAAGGAGGGAGAGGGAAGGGAGGCGCAGATTGCGCTGGTGGAACAGGAGAGAGAGAGAGAGAGAGAGAGAGAGAGAGAGAGAGAGAGAGAGAGAGAGAGAGAGAGAGAGAGAGAGGATCGCGACCCATCTGAAAGCTATTTTGGGATGGATGAAATGCTGTCCACTGCCAGTTCTGGCGGAAGGTTCGTTGTTCGATTCTCTATGACCTTTCTATGCCCGTTATTTACCGTTTATCCACCTATCTATCTTTCTATCTATTTACTCTCTATCTATTCATTTAATTTATCCATCTCTATCTTTTGTTTGCAAGCAAAAATAATTTTATGTTGTAAGAAGCTACGAACTCAGAATCTTCGCTTCTTTCATCTGTCGATGATCATTTTCTTTCCTCCCCCTGTATAGATCAGATGTTATCTGTAAAAGAAGATATATAGTTTTTCGGATCTTTTTCCTTGTCCCTTTTTTTTTAATCTGTCGATCGCCTTCTCATCTTCTCTCTGTGACCCCCTCTATTCTTACATTGGCGGGTGCAATTACCGTTTTGTAATGAACTGCAAATTTTCTTATCTGCTCTCTCACCCCCTCGACTCTTAAATTGGCGGTCGCAATTACTGTTCTGTACCGAACTGGGAAAGAAATTACTGTTCTGTTACTGTTCTGTACCAACTGGCCTTTGTTGCTCAGTTGGTACACCCCGTGAGACCGAACGCGGCAGTCACGAATCGATGGCAGAGGGCGCGGCCTCTCCACAACCGGATTTGCGGAAATACAGACTGAGTTCGAACTCCGCCGGATGCAGACGAGTAAAATACAACAAGTCTGGTCGGTCAGTTCGATGATGATGATATCTCAAGGTCGTCGCCCTTCAAAAAAAAGAGGAAAAGAAGAGTAGAAATGGGGAGAAAGAAGGGAAAGAAAAGATAAAATTTCGTCTTTTCTTGATACCCCAGTTATGTCCTTTTTTTTTTTTTTTGGGAGTTGTGTCCTTTCTCGTTCCTTTTTTCTTGATATCCAGGCGTTTTTTTTTTTTTTTTTTTTAAACGTCGATGACAAACCCTGAGCCCCACGTCTGTAGGTCTGCGGATCTGATCTTTTCTGTCCCCTTTTGTCGTTTGCTGGCGGGTACAATTATATTGATTTATTTTTTCTGTAAGAAATTGCGATGTCTTCGTCTTCTCTCGATATCCTGTTACCTCGTTATCCATCTATATCTTGTTATGCATTTATCTGTCGATCGAGGTTACCTGCTTTCTCTCTCTCTCTCTCTCTCTCCTTCTTTCTCTCTTTCTCTTTCTCCCTCTCTCTCCCCACCCTTCACCCGACTCTCTCTGTGTGCTTCTCTCTATTTCCTGCTCAATCGATCTTAGCATTACCGGCGGTGTGTCTTTAATTCTTTTTTTTCCCTTTTCCTTTTGCCCGTTTGGCATGCGATCCACCCTTGCGTGTTCTGGCAGTATTCTCGAATATCATTCCTTTTTTTTTTTTTTTTTTTCTGGAGCCTATGATTGCTATCTATCAGTCAACGACTGACACCTGTTATCGTCTTTATCCGTTTGTGTACCTGTCAATCAACCGCCTTGTCCCTGCCCGCGATATATGTATAATATATATTTGTGACAATATAATATGACAATATATATATATTTTTGGCAGATTTTACATCCTTTTGTTTTATTTTTTATTTTTTTTAATCTTTTGTCGGCTATTTCTCCCTGATGTGGAATGGCATCTGTATATTGCGGGCCCTCTGTTGTGGTTCCGTTTCTTTTACTCTTGATTATATTTGGATTGTTATGTTCGTTTCTTTAACTCCATATCTGTTGGTAGTGTCGAAAGCTTTATCTGTCCTATAAGTGAGGTTTGGTTTCCTCCTTTTCTTTACCTCTTTGCCTTTTGGCTGCGTGCAGGTGGGTCCTTGTGACACATGGGGATGGGGGCAGCCGGTGCTCAACCATCATCCACGTGGCCGGCCTTGTACGTAAGAGGTGATGAACAGGCGGAGCTTTCCTTCCTCACTTCTTTCCTTTTTTTGTTTTTTTTCGCCTTTGCGCTCGGATACACCGTGTGACGATATATATATATATATATTGTCACATGATATCAGAGCGCCTAAGCGAAAAAACCAAAAAAACAAAGAAATCTTAAATTCGTTTTTAATCTTCTTCCTTACAACTCCCCCTGTTCAGAACCTCTTGCRTACAAGGCCGCCCACGTGGATGTAGGTTGAGCGGCGGCTGCCCCCACCCCCGTGTGTCATATCGACCCACTTGCACACAGCCAAAAGGCAAAGAGGCAAAGAAGAGAGGAAGGGAACAGCCAAATGAAACAAATAGAACAGAGGGAAACAAGACACACAGATGACAAGTCCCACATGCAAGCACCGCCCGCTCCGTCAAAGGCCAAACAACGGGACAAGACCACCCAGGACAAGACATAAAAAAGCGACGATCCACAGTGTGACAACCAAGAAAAAAGAAAAAGAAAAAAAAAGAGAAGACAATCCTGGATGACGATTCCCACATACAGGCACCGCCCCGCCTCTCAAAGGGCCGAACAACGGGAAACAACCAACCAGGATGCCAAAAACCCAAATGGCTGGTCCCACATGAAAGCACAGCCACGCCCATAAGATAGCCCGAACAACGGGACCAAACCAACCGAGGTACAGACAAAATCAGCAAAACAAAAAAAGGCTCCAATCCACAATGTGACAACCAAAAAGGAGTATATATTTTTAATAGATTTCTTAATCCGTATCGACTTCTGCCGTATTTCTTGTGCCGTATCCATCGATCCCCCAGTCTTTGTACTCTTTTCTTTTGCTTTTTTTCCCCTCAAAATTGAACTCACCATTTCATAAACGAACGCAGTGGCAGAGTCTTTGTACCTTATCCATCAATCGCACGGTCGCGCATGGTGGTAATTTATTGTCACACGGTCGCGTGCGGCGGCAATTTGTGTTCGCGCTGTTGTCCGCTCCACCTCAACAAGTTTTGTCGTTTTCTATATTCCCGTTCCAGGTGACATATCGAGGTGACACGTCACCTTGGACGATGACACGTGTCATCTTCTCGACCGTTGTCGCCTTCTGTTGAAAGCTTCAAAAACATGACACGGGAATTCCCCCCATTCGCACCGTTCGATTTTTTCGAGTTTTGTGATTTTTATTAAATGATTTATAATGATTTTGATTTTCGCGATTTTTGCGATTTTTTAAGATTAAATGAATTTTGGGATTGCGAGTGATTGGTGAATTTTGGAATTGCGATTTTCGGACTGTTGTGATTGAACGAGTTTTGTGACTCGTGTGATTTTGTTTCCGAATTTTTGCGATTTGCATTTAAAAATTAGTCCTGCGGTCAGCATGGTGGCAACATTCGGGCTCTTTTTTTTGTATGTCTTGGGCGTTTGTTGCGGCCGTTTTTTTTTTGTGTTTTTTGGGTTTTAGTACTTTATACCGCGTTTTTTTTGGTTCAAGCTTTTCCCATTATGATTACGCGCACCCGCGTCGTTCTCCCTTATAATCTTGTTGTCGTCAACAAGAATTACAAAGCAGTGAGGAGAATGATCGCTAGGCGGATTACAAAGCAGTGAGGAGAATGA